GACTTCGCATGAAAACTATAGCGGCTTTTCGCATATATAGTTTATAGAGCTTCTTGTGCTGGAGTAGCATAGGTATTAGAAATCCGGTGATTCCTTTGAATATAAGTGATTGTATTCTTACGTTTATAACAACAGAATACGTGTTTTACTCGAAACAACTACAAACAAATACGTGTTCTTATTCAAATATTGGTTTAGGGATCAGTCTCAGTGGAAACCGCTGATTAGTGACCGTCAGTTCTTGTCATGGCTGGTGAAAAGTCCGTCCATACAGGAACAGTCTCGCGCGCGGCAAATCACTGCCCTGCAGATGAATAAGCTTGAAGAATTGTGGAAGGTGAGCTAGCTACACTTGCTTTTTTCATGAAATATTCTAAATTCGTATGTCAAATTTTTCTACGTTTTATTACTTGTAAAATGGGTCGAAGCTTTCATAATCACTGTTTGACTATAAACAGTGTTATTTCAAGTTCACGATTTTTGCTCGTTGTTTAGAGAGAACGATTTAGTAGGCTGTGGTTTGTCACCGTGTGAACAGATTGGTGACTTCAGTCATAAACCTTACTCTCTCATATGCTCCTCCATTTGTGAATTCCTTTTTCAGATATATTGACACTTGATAAAAATCATTCCCTGGTTACATTTACACATTCTGGCGTATTTGTTGCTGCTTCCTATTAATAATAATGTCGCATAATGTTTCTGTGTAACTTACAATACGAGAAATGGTAAATTCAAAACTTTCCTTGACATTTTAGCGCCTATGCAGATTACGAAACTATTTTCTGTCGCAGATGATGATCTCAAACGAATGCTTCTTCATACGTGGTAATCGACATGATCGATCTAATTGTTTTCACCCTGGTTGTTGTTCAGTAAACAATCATGTATTTAATCATCTCTCAGTGACTGACATGTTTTGAGAAGCCGTTGATCTACGCCAGTTAGTCACTTTCGAATTTATCCTTTTCGGGTCGCGGAAACAAACGCTTCAGGCAGTGTCTTGAACGTTCCCGCTCCTGTGACAGTGCTTGAACTTCGGCAGAAGATAGCCTAATCTGGTGCAGTGTCTTTCCCCAAGTATTCTTGGCCGTTACCGGGGTTTTCGGCAGGTCGGTTGGGCAAGTGATAGCTGTTTGGCTATCCCTTCTGATCATTCGAAGCACATGCCCAAATCTTTGCAGTTGTGACTTCTCAATCTGAAGAAGCAGCAGCTATAAAAAAATCTGTGGCTCTCAGATATCTGTACTCCGGATCGTATAAAGGCGCGTGAAGCCAGTGATTCTTTCAGTAAGCCCATTTCAGCCGCGTTTATCCGGGATCGGAGTTTTTCAGCCATGGCCACGATTTATGACCGTTTATGACGCATGGTTATGAAGATCCGGAACACAGAGATCTTAGTCATGAGACTCAACTCTGCTGTACTTACGACGTTCGAGCTAGTTTGCGCACAGCACCGCTGGCCATTCTGGCTTCTTGATCTTTCTCCCTTTCTTTTTCCATCATCTGTATCACTGCTTCTCCGTTTTTCTGAATTGAAAAACGGGCTGGAGAACGAGATAGGACTAGTCTTTTCCTTTTAAATGCGTTCACACGCATGCTGGTCACCTCGCATTCGGTTGTTAACCATTCTGTAGAGCACTGGACCTCAGTTTCAAAAGATGTCAACAAAACAAGGCCTACTGCAACCAGCCAACTTCTAATCTCCACATCTTCTACACTGATTCACTCGCCCTTATGCTTGCTTCTGGCTCTTTGATCTGTTAACAAACGAGAGGATGGACAGAACGTTGCCTTGGAGGAGTCCAAGTGTTTTCCAATTCTCCAAGAAATCTGCTTCGAACGACAGAGATGCCGGATTCGATTTCGCTTGGGAGCATTCATTTTCATATTCACGAATTCCGTTCCTTTCCTTGGCGTAAGCCAGGGCCAAGAATGATAGGTCTCGACTTAACGCCATTTACTCTGACGCAGCACCTTGTATCAACCTATAGTGACTAAATGGTTTTTAGCCGCTGACCGTAGTTAGACCGATCCACGCCCTGAGCCATGCGATGCTGCATCTCCGTAGAGTCTTCCGTAGGTCATGCTGAAAGGTGGTTTTGAACAACGATGTTAGTTTGCTATCAGAATATTTACCCTAGATGCATTTTCTACTTACAACTGCAGCTGTACAGAAGATGTCGTGATAGGCACTGATTTATTAAAGTTTGGGTAGAATCTTTCTAAAATAAATCACATGAGGTTTTAATTCTAGGCCCGTATTTACATAGATAAATGGTTGAACGATTCATGATTCAGGGAACCAAATACAGTATATGGTAAAACCTTTATTGTCAAAGCGTTTTGCTGCATACATCTTACCATCATCAGGGTTGGATTGAGCACAAATGGCTGCTTGAAGACACTTATATCCAACAATAAAGTAATTTATTTCTCGATTGGCACATACAAACATAACAAATAAACTGCTATTAAGCAGCATGACTCGAATGTTATTCAACAAATGCTGTATAAATTTCACATTGCAGTGCAATCGGATCTTTGTTATGTTGACCCGATCTTGCGTATCAGATTTTTGATTACATCCCAGCTGTAACTAATAACCACGGAAGATGTGTATTTATTGCACATCCTATAATTCATTGTCAGGATATGTAAGGACTCTTTTATTAGCAGACATAATTTAGAATTGTGTTTGTCTATGACAGGTCTGACTGAAAGTGCCCTTTGGTGATCGCACGCTAGACAGTACCATAATTGTCCGTTTGTCCGAGTCGGGCTGCAGGCAGGTGCTCGTTTATCCGGATATTTTTTTTCCG